GATAGAGGTGGTGATAGAGGTGGTGATAGAGGTGGTGATAGAGGTGGTGATAGAGGTGGTGATAGAGGTGGTGATAGAGGTGGTGATAGAGGTGGAGGTGGTCATGGAGGTGGTCATGGAGGTGGTCATGGTTGGATCGAATAGATATAAAGATAGATGGTGGGAAAGAATCATATGAACGAACCTCTTGACGTGGTTGGTTGTAACCACATTCAGGTTCAGGTTGCCTTTTGCTCACTTGCAGTTTCATTTGCTTTGCTCGGCGTGACATGAAATGTCAGGAAGAAGGTAAAAGGAGGTGTCTGAGGTAAAGTAGCCTGCCTATTGTCTATCAAGAATACTCCTGTGTAGGTACTCCTTGTGTAGGAGGGTATAGATCGGTTCCTACTCTGTTCCCGGACGGATCCTGGGCCCTCAGTAGAAGTGAGATTTTGAACAAGGAGAAGGGAGAAGGAGGGGACTAGAGTAGAGTAGAATTGAACGGATAGATGGACTGAAGAAGGGTCACGTTCATGTTCTATTCCGTCAGGGGCTCCTGTTGACATGAGAGAGAGACAGGTCTGAAGCAGGCTTCGAGGGATGGTTGAAGGTGGAAAAAGGAGTGTTTCTGTTTCTGATAACCGGCTTGATGGACTTGCCATAGTAGCCATGTAGCCGATGAATGGACATGTACTACCTACCCAGGTACTAGTATGGCAGGGATAATTGGCAGCATGGAGAAGGGAACTTGAAATCAAACATCATTGCCCAAGTCGCAGGTTGGTTGATGCTAGAGACAAAGAGTTCCTAAGGCCACCTCACCTGCTTGTCGTGTCATGCATCGAAAACTGTGATACTGCATCGAAAATTGTAAGACTACTTGTGAGGCTCGGTTTCGAGCGACAGCTGAGCCAACATTCAACGTTCGAATACACTTTTGGATTGGATAGGTATGTATGTATGTATGTATGTATACACGTTACCTAAAGTAATGTAAACCAAGTCTGCTTAAGCAGTACCGTCATCGTCTTCATCTTCATCTTCTGGTGTAATTGTTGCATATATAGATAGTGTCGAAGGTTGATCCACCACAGCACTCAACAAGATCGAACGATCTGCTGGCAGAACATTCAAAAAGTGGTCTCCCGCGTCTTGTCGTCGTACACGGTCGTCTTCTCATCCCCGTGCATGGGCTGTTTACCGAGCGCATCTGTCCCCGTCGATCGTTCCTCGTCGTAGCCTTCGCCTTCGGTATAGACGACGGAAAACTGGCGGTCGGCGGCGTCGGGCTTCTCGCACCACACGCTGCTGGTGGCGGGGACGGGCTTCCACCAGCACAGGAGATAGTAGACGGCCATGGCGACGAGCAGGCCGCAAAAGAAGTTGAAGCGGTAGATGTAGACTGCGCCCATTGGCATCTAGATTCAGATTGTTAGCATCATGAATTCATACATAACATGGTCGATCACCAGAGTGGATATGGCCCCAATGCGTCTGAAATCCGTATCTGCTCTCCACTGCACACAAACAGGGATTCGCAATTTGCAGTTTTAAACTTACACGGCCCTCGGTTCCAATGGCGTCCACGAAACCCACGACGTTGATCAATATGCCGCAGATATAGGCGACGTATCCTCTCCAGGACCATCCCATCCAATAGAAGTACGGAGAGGACTTCTGAGCGGAGTAGAGTCCCTTCAAATCAAGGTACCCTTTGCGAACGAAGTAATAATCGCAGAGAATCACGCCGGCGATGGACGATAGGAAGACGGAATACGCCGATAGATATGTCGTGAAATTGTTGGATGAGCTGAGCAGATTCCACGGACACATGCAAAGCCCGATGATGGCGCAAATATACCCTCCGCGACGGATATTGAGGTAGCGCGGGAAGAGAGCCGTCATATCGGTACCTATCAGAAAGATGTCAGTCGGACGGACTTCCGGTGCTGGTCGAGGCTTAAAAAACATACCCGCCGACACGCTGTTTGCTGCGATATTGGTCCCCAATTGAGCCAGAACAAAGGCAGCGGCAATGACAAAAACACCAAACCGTTCGGCTCCCGTGGCATCGTCTAGGAGGAATTGGGAGAGGAGGTCTAGAGGATTCCAAATGGCGGTGCCGTAGATCACCATCGACGAGGAGGACACAATGATGCCGATAAAGGAGGTAATCGCGAACCCGATGGGAATCGTGAAGAGTTGCGACCACAACGCAGCCTTAGGTCTGTTGGCGAACCGGGTGAAATCACTACAGCATGTCAGTATGAACAGGCGACTCTTGCTCTCCAATACTCCACCTACGCATCGTTGACGATGAGTGTTGCGAAGTTGGCAATCGCGCTCATTATGCCTGAGATCCATCCCCAAGCCAAAGCAGATCCTGAAGCCGTTGCTGGCTGGTGAACGACTTCAAGAGTATTAGGTTCGGTGACAACAAAGACGTGGCTCGTAGGTACTTACTCGGCCCGATACCATTGGCTTTTGCAATTGCCCAGCCGAAGAAGGCTATACCGGCACAAGGTACAAAGTAAGCCTTGACGGTGAAGAGATGTCGAATCTTATGGACTGGGAACCAGATTGCCGGCAGAGAGCCCACCCAGAAGATAAAGAAACCGACGAAATCTCTTGTGTTGGTGCCCGAGCTGGGGATACCGTTGTGCAGGGTGTAAAATGAAGGCCACTACAGCTTGTTGTCAATAAGGACACTTCCCAAACATAGCATGGCACTCACAATGGATCTGATCATCAGGGTCACACATTCACCACCGATCCAGGCTTGAACGCCGTACCATACGCAGGCCATTCCTGAAAGCAATGATGAGCCATGGGTGCTTCAAACATATATCAGGCCGTCACCTACCTGCACGATTAAAGACGGGCCACAGAGAACCCCAGATCCCAAAAGAAGCACGAGACATGACCGGAAACGAGATATGGTACACAGCACCGATGCGACCGGTCAGGCAGACGAAGACAGCAGCGATGAAGTAGCCGATCCACACACAAAGCCATGCGTGCCACCATGCAAGACCACCGCCTGTGATGCTGGACGAAGCAATCATCCATGTGTTGATATTGAAAGAGTCGGCAACCCAGAAACCTGACGGCCATGAGCAATGCCATGATCGAAATGTGGTCTAGAGCTTCACTCACCCACAAAGTTCCATGGTCCCCACTGACGACGTTCAGGTTCGACGGGTTTCAAATCCTGGTTCGTCAACATCAACTGTGCACTCGTAAGGCCGGGCTCGGACTCCGTGGCCAGCTTGGACAGCAATTTTGAAGCCTTGGAACTTCTGAACATCGCCATGGCGCACGAAAACTGTTGTTGTATATGAGTGGGTAAGAAGAAGAAAATCCGACGGACAGCAATGCCACTCAGACTATCCTCACAGAGAGCGTTGTCAAGTGAGGATCGCACGACAGGCGAAACCGACTGAGAAAGTAATGGTTCGGAGTCTTCCCAAGAGGATGGTCCAGGTAAATGGGCGGAAGAGGACGCAATGGTATCTAATTCTATGTCTGAGTCGTGGGCCGGCGAGAGCATCGAAGGGTTTTAAGTCGAATATGTGCCAAAAGCAAAAACCTCCCATTCACGCCGTCGTCTGTAGGGACGCAAGCGGCTTGATGTCACACCCTGTCAAGGTGGGCCAAGGCAGCAGCCGTTATCAGCAAAGCAGCGCAGGGGTCATAAGGCTAGGTTGAAGCGAATAGACGACTGGGAGTGGGGAGCAATGCTCGACATCCAAGCGAAAAGGGACCGGACAAAGACGAGCGCGCAGAACGAAAGGATGGGCGGTGGAAGTTTGGAGAGGACAGCGCCACGCCGGCAACCGCAGAGAGGGCACAACTGTCGCCGACTCTCGAATTCAGGCCAAGCGATAGGAAAGGGATTGCGAATAATGGTCCACCGTCGGTCTCGTGGCTCGCGTGAGGTTGAAGTTTCTTCAGAAAGACGACCCATGGCTGGGTCTTTGGCCTGGGGATGTTTCTCCACACTTTGAGGGTGTACCGTTGAGAACCCTGCACGGCCTCCGTCATATCTCGCAGATTTTGTCCGTTTGTACCACTGGGAGCACCAACCCAACGTCGATCAGACTTTGCATGGTTCTTGTAAAGGCCGCGACTAATGGTCGCCGTCGAGAGCCGTCTGGAAGGGATTTTTCTACACTGTACACTTTCTTCTGGCTTCGTCGCATCTGTGGTAGCCACGCCAAACCAATTTTACGCTGGAGTGCGATTGTCCGTGCCGCGACCGGCGTCCAGGCTAGAATCCAACATATTGCATTGAGACCCGCAAGGATTGGAAGATAGGAAAGCTGACATCTGGAGAACAGCAAAAGAAAGCAACATCATGATAACGAGCTGGATGATCGATGGTGTTTGGCTGAACTGCGAGGCCAGGGATGAAGTTGACCTGATATGACTCGATGAAATCGAGTAAAATGCAATTCCCAAGACTGCCAAGGAGATGTCAGCCCTTTTCGGCAGCAACAAGCGCCGCCCTGTTCTCAACCCCCACGATTTTGTGGATACTATAAAGCAGCGTTTTGACTGCTATTTTCGGCCATTATCCACTCTCTAACCTCAACTCTTCCTCTCAACCCTCACCGGTCTATGTCGTGTTCGCAAAAGAAAAGAACGAGAAACCAAAGAATCCACGATCTAGGATCGTACTTGGACTCTTCACGAAGGAGTATGGTGCTGGAGACGAGCTGGACCGAGTCCAAGCCTTTCCTTATCTCTTCTTGCACTTCAAGTCTTCCAAGATCTCCCTTGCCCAGCAAACTCAAACTCGCTGAGCATCTTTTCCTGGTCATCCTGCTGGGGGATAGATAAGCCGGTGAATCTGCAGTAGCAGACGAGCCGATGACCTGATGAGCAATATAGCCACGACACGTGAATGCAACTAGCAGTCCCAGAGCTAACATTCCTGAGTCAACGAGGCTTGCCATCCCAAGCCACCTTCTTCTCATCCCTAGGTGTGATAGTTTAACCGCGAGAAGATGGCGTGCGCCGTGGAATCGCGGTCTTGTGCTTCGGTCAGTGAATATCGCAATTGGTTACGCCAAGTCAGTGTCAGGCGGTGGTCGAAGTGGATTGGTGCAGAATCGTGACTTGATCAAGGACCGGAGAAGACTTGTGTCAGCGTCCTGGCCCAACTGCATCGACTAGCCATAATCGATGCAAATCCTGTGCACTTGGGAGGCCTCAGTGCCTGATGATGGCTGCCGCTCTGCTGAACTGCCTTAGTGAAGCATGCTGCCGTCGCTCTGTGACAAGTTCGAGTCTCCCGTCCGTCTTCCCGTGTGTCGAGATTATCCACCGAGCTCGTTTTTGCTGCTTCTCCTAGCTAATATATGGACGTGCACTATGTAGTTCCGTTGACTCGTTCTCGTGCAACCTGATAGACAGAGTATCGTTGCCATCGCATACCTCAGCAGACAACACAAGTATGTCGCGTATTGGCTCCCAACGATCGCTTTGATATCAATGGCAAAGCCACCTGAGAAGCCTGTCAATGAGCCGCGGAAGAAACTTCTTGACCAGCTTTTCCACTTGATCAGTCTGGCCCTGTCCATGACCTTGTTGGTGTTGTTGCTGCTGATGAGGCCGCGAAGGATGCTGTTGATACGACTGTTGATGCCCGTAACCCTGTTGTTGCTGATGGCCGGCCATGCCTGAATATGTTTGCGGTTGTTGCTGTGATTGATATCCCGCCCAATTATTCGCATTCTGCATATCTACAGCACCACCGGTCAAGTCAACATAGATTCTGCCCTCGTTCGGTTCGGTGCGATACTGCAGCCCCAGCTCCTGACAGACTTGTTCGACCCGAGGCTTGAGTTTCTGGACATGTCCAGTACTATGGTTCCCTTTGCCCACGATGACATGGAGATGTTTGTCGCCGTGCGCTCGAGCATACCGGATCCGCTCTTCCAGGATGTCTTCGGCTTCCTCGACAAATTGGCCGTGCAGATCGATCGTGTCGGCGGGGACTCTTCCGGGAGCATTGTTTTCTCGAAAGATGAATTCCGATGCTTGTCTGTTGTACTCTTCCATCTTGCGACCATGGGCCTTGGCCTCTTCCGACAGCGCATGTGCTGCCGCGCCATCACCGCGTTGGTATGCTTCTTGGGAGCGGGCGGAGCAGGAGGCGCGTTTGGCTGCTTCTTGTCTGGCGAGGTCCCGGAGTCGGTCGTATTCTCGTTCAGCTGCTTCGGATTGGCTGTGGTTGAATGCTAAAGGAAAGAGTGGTGAGCCACAAGCCACCAGATTGGAAACAAATAATATAGCGATCTGAGAGAGGTTTAAGCTCACGTTTTGTGCCTATTCGCGTCGCATGGCGGGTCGACATTTCGTAGGACATGTTTGCGGCTGCTCTTAAGCGCTAGCTGAGGTCGTAGTGTTGAGACGGCCGGATTGACCAGAACAACACGCGTGTGCTTGGAAATGGAGGAGCAAGCAGACAATAGATCTGGAACACGGACGCCGTGACCGTCGGTGTACACCTACCAGGTACCTTAGTAGGTAGGTAGGTACTGAAGTAGGTACTGAAGACGTGGTACAAATCCCAAGCGACTAAAGGAAGATGCGCGATCGGATTGGGCGAGATCCCCGCAAAATTGAGCAATCGTCTGACAGAAGAAGTGTGGAGAATTACACCGGGGACGAGCCTTGATCCGAAATAACAATCTGTCAGACAGCGTCATTTGCAAGCTCTCTACCTCCACTGCATCTCAGGGAAGGCCTGGAGGGTCGATGTACTATCTACCTACCTCTTCAACGTGAGAAGAGAAAGCTAAGGGCAACCCTGGAACGTTTGAAGTACAAGACCATCTTCTTCTCTCTGAGAATGCTGATTGAAATATAGGGTAGGCCAGTCCGCCCATATAATGGCAAACATTACTCCCCATGGAGCTGCCCCTATTTCCTTCCTAGTATCGCCAATTGGCGATAGCTTGACGATATCGTGATGAGGATGACTACGGCCTACTGTGACCCGAGACGGCTTCAACCTCCAGTCACATATTATTCTCGCCGTCAGAGACCAAACAAACTGTTCTCATAGCAGTTGGCCAGCTCTCTCAATGCCCACCCCATTCGCGGCGTCACCCCCCCAGACCCAAGTATCGTCATGCAACCCAGCCCAATGTCGAGCCAGCTTGGCTGCCAGACCGCCGGAAGCCTGGTCCCCCGTCTCGTCATCCAATCCCGTGAAGAGATCGCGAATGCTCTGCATGGTGTGTGCCCCGCTCACTGACGGTCCCACTGTGCCCTTGACGAGTCTCCAGTTCTATCGCATCGACCCATTTTGGCACAAGCAGAGTTGAAGACATGTCAGTTAAGAGATCAAAGAAGAACAGAAGCTGTTACTTACCAGCTTCCCAGCCTGCAAGGGCGTGCCCTAGGGCCCAGGTCAAGGCTGCCGTCTTCCTGGTCAGCAGAGTGCCAGACCTGTACGCTATCAACAGCCTGGTAGATTGGACATGCTGGAGATATTGCGTGGTGTTAAATATGCATAGGCGGGACCAATGTTAGAAATGCTGGAATTTCAGGGTAGAAGCACAGGAGCGGTCTTGGCTTACATGCCTGGATTGGGCTGAGGACATGAAAGTCCCTCACAGAAAGGCTGGTGGGCAATTGGTCCCATCAGGGTCCATTGCATTGGCAGGCCGAGAAAAGAGCACAAGGCGCTCATGCCTTCAGGTAAGGTTGGGCCAACGGGCCACTGAGTCGGCTGCAAGCTTTTCGCCGGCATGGATCACATCCACCAGGGCACTTCAAGTTCTTAGAAGGCTAGTACGCAGGTCCTCTAGCTGAATTGCACCTAGGGCAGCCACTGCTTCACCAGACGACATTATGCTTGCTGTGCGAAGGTTGATGAGGATGCCAGATTAGGCAATTGTGAATGACTCCACATAGAAGTATGCGCAAGGCTGAGGTGGGGTTGTTGCAGTTTCCCTCTATGGAGGAAGCATCAACTCATCCAGGTAACGAGGCAGCAGGGATCTTAAGCAGCGCCTACCATGGGTGACATACCATCTCCATGTACAGCTATGATTCGTGTGGCCGACTCCAGACATCAGGATGTGGCGAGGTGTGTGTATGTGGGTACATTGAGCTGCAAATGTCTGTAACATGTGAACATGGAAGTCCGTAGTCCGCATTCCGCAGTGCGGCTTTCGCTGATACTTAAGCGCCAGCGTCCTTTCGGAGGTCTGGGCTCTCTTCTCTTTCTGGAGATGAGGCTGAAGACTGGGCTCAACGAGCACAGGCACGTTGACTCGACCTGCCATGGCTGCAAAGCCAGATGTAGGGGCATATCGCACCTCTGGACATGTCAACATGCCACAGTGATGTCGACAAGGACATGTCTTACCGGCACTCTCCCTTCGGGGTCTAAAAGCGTCGAGTTGAACGTTATAAAAACAGTTGTGCCCTTCAATGCTCTTCAGATCAAAATCGGCTGCAAATTGCAGACGCTGGATCGATATATTAATAGTATTTTGAGGCTGCCTTGAGGACGTCGGGCTAGTCAGATATCTCCATGCACATCCAACTTGAAATGAAACGATCCAATGGCATATGGATCGACGATCTGGTTGCTATCAATCCACTGTTTGACAGCACAATGAGGGAAGCTGGGCGCGGCAAGCTAGTCGAAAGCGGCTTTGTGCAGGGGAGGATGAGGTCGTCGCCGCCCGTCTGCACGAGTACATCAGCTTTGCATGGATATGGACCTTCCAGGTACCAGATATGACAGCCAACAATATGAGCCGTGGGTACCAAGGCAAGGTGCGTTGTGAGAGGTGCCTCGAGGGCATTGGTTGGTAAGGGCACACCGTGACGATCATACACCTAACTTGAAGCAGCTTTCAGCCGTGCCGCGCAGATATTTCCATTGCAGGCGGCAGTATGTCCATTTTAAGACAGTGGCACCTCGATTTGCAGCTGAGATGGCGTTGAACCGATGCAATCAGACCGGATGTCGACGTCAATGCCGGCGGTGAGTGAACGACCCAGAACACCATAGCAAGCAGGTCAGGATGTGAGTTACTGAGCTGCTACAGCTCGGTTTGATTTGACAGGTTGCACGGCATGCAGGTTGGTGGCGCTTTTGATCTCCCAATACAGAACATCGCAATTCTTTCGACTGCCAGGGAGCGAATAGACGGGCGGCTGGAAGAGCAAGGTTGGAGGCGGTACTCGCTGCCACTTGTCACAGAACACCTTGGGAGACTTCCAGACCGTTTAACCAGTAAAAGGGCCCCCGAGGCTTGGAAAGTTTGCAGTGTAATGCCTAGGTAGGTACCTACCTAGGTATTAGGGAGCCTCCCTTCAGCCCGGCAAAGTGGATTGATCTGCCCCAGACCCGGTCCCTCACACCATCCCCTGCGCGGGAATGTAGAAGAAATTGGCGGTTGTGCACCAGAAAATTTAATAGTGTCTGAAGCTTGAAGGACGCATGAAACGCAGCACGTCGCCCTCAGTGTGGACTCGAGATGTGGGTATGGACAGAATAGCTTCCAGGTCCGAGGTGCTGTCTGTGCACTCGTCGTACTACTTACTGGGTACTCAGGCGTGATCGACGCCCCGACGGCTGTCACCAGGTCGATTCCGCGGATCTGGTACTGACATGGAGATGCAGGTCTTACTTCCAGGCTCTGAAGTCTCCGAGAGCACATCTACGGGTGACAATGATATGATACCTTCCAATGTTATTATATCTATATTGGACATCTCTCGCTGCATGGCCAACAACGGCCATCCTAATAGCGGTGATGGTGGTGATTGCCGCGGCTGTTACTGCCTGTAAGCTACCACACAAAACTGGGGTTTCATTTACGCAGCACAGGGCGTCGTCGGGTCATCAAGCACGAAACATAACGATGCCCAGCCTGATGCAAACTGTATGGGCAAGATCACGCAACGGTGGGCGAGCCTGGACTGACAGCCTGTTATACGCCCTCTTAGAACTCCCAGAACAATTTTAAACCTGTCTCGCCATCGGTTCGCTTGAAGGCGCCGTTGATGATGGCCTGCATATCGGTACAGGGGCGTTGGATGCAGAATGTTTCTTCAACCATCGGAAGCATGACAGAGGCCGGACGGCCTGCAATTTCAAGGGGTTGGCGGATGCACTAGATCGCTTGAGAAGGTTCATCCAACTCCCGATCAGCAGGTACAAAGCCTTGTCGTCGCTGGCCTCAATGGTCTGGCCCAGGGCATTCAATTTCGGAAGCCAGACCATAATTGTGTACAAGGCTCCAGTAGATTTTGTAACGGGCAATCCATCAATTCTGCCAGCTATTTATAAAGAGATTCGGCCCAACTCTCGACGCAATCATGTTTGAAGCGACCAATTCTTTCGTCTGAAGTCAGAAGGGGCTTTGGCGGAGTCTCCAAGCTGGCCCCTGCGCCAGTACCGGTGCTAAGTACTAGGAGCGGGATAGCCTCGTAGGTGCCACCAAGTGGGCAATCCGAGGGTGTCAAGACCCAGAACCAAGTCCCTCGACAGGGGTCGAGGATGAAATAGTAGGTACGGATGTCAAGTCGACCAGTAGAGGTTCTTTTTCAAGTGATGGCGTAGGAGCTCTAGGGAGGGGCTTCATGCTTGACAAGGCCGCAGTCCAATGATAAATGGTTCAAGACAGGCGACGGCGGAGGCGGTGGAGGGATGCTTCGGGATCGACTTGATAAGTGAGAGATGAGGAAGACGAACGTAACTCCGTCCCTGGCTACTCCTACGACCACCCAATCTGTCAGTGTTACCACAGCGGAAGGGAAAAAAGGCGACGTGCATCTCACACAGCGAAAAGGCCATTGCTCTGTAAAGCTAATCACTCACTCTTCTGATCGCAGGGACCAATTTGGGATCAGGGCCATGTCCCGGCTTCAAGTGAGCTTCGGGCAACTAGTCAAGGGAGGAGAAAGGAAGAGGAGTCAAACGCTCTACCTGAATCGGCGACACCTTAAGCAGATGAGCCGTCTTTCAAAGGGGATTAGGCACTTCTTCCGACAAACCCCAGTGCAGGTGAGGGCTAGAGGGCGGCGGTACTAAGCGTCCTTCAGTTTAGCTGGCCCGCACTAAGCAAACGCTATAGGTCACCCGTAAACCTGAACCTGGACCTGCCAACTTGGGTCCAACTTGGACGTGAACCGGATCTATCTCTAGGTACCCGGCCCTTATACCTAACCTAGACACTTAGCCTCCTAGCCACCCACTACGGTATCGTGTCTCCCGCCGTGCACCCACTCCCGTCATTTTTGTGGCCACTCCCTGCAAAACTGCGCCTGTCCTACTTGGGCTACTACACTAACACCCTGGCACAGTATTGCACAACTAGACTCAAGACAGCATGCTCTTCGATTGATTCCTCGACTCTCCTGCCTCGCTGGGTTGGCCTGCCGCCATCCATTATTGTCTCGTCCTTCATTCATCGTTTCGTCCCCATTTCTATTCCATCCGGCCATCAGCGACTTCTAGTCGTTACCTATTCCTCGCAGTCGCAGTGTGCAGTGCAGTGCAGTGCCGTGCACGGTGGACGGGGCTCATACGACAAAAGGAAAGAAAGAGAGCACCGACCTCCCATCGACATTCTGTGCCCTGACACTGGCAACCGCCCTGTCGCTCGCGCCGTCCAGCTCACTGATCGACGCCAATTCTGCCGCATTTCGCTCTCTCCCGTGCCGATCTTCTCGGATTCCCTATCACCGCCAGCCTCACCTTCCTCTGGTTCACCTGCGGGTTCACTCTTCCCGCTACAAACGTTTTGTAGCCATCCTGTGGCACCAGATTTCGGACGCAGGTGAGCATTATACACACTCCCGCACGTCACTACAGATCGGTTTGCGATTACAGCAAAACGGATACCTATCATATCATTGTCTGCCATTGCTGCATGCTGACTTCGTGCAAGCTCTGGTTGCAGGCTCGTGGCTCCCAGCCCTGAATCGAGACTCGAGACCTTTCCTCGAAGGGCAACACGGTGACCGGCAGCCATGGGGTGCGGTGCGAGCAAAGAAGACACCGCCGGCAAGGCAAGGAATGATGAAATTGAAAATCAACTCAAGAGGGACAAGATGGCCCAGCGGAATGAGATCAAGATGCTCCTGCTTGGTACGTACAGACCATTATATGCGACGTGATAATCAACTCTTAACATCATGTACAGGCGCTGGTGAATCAGGGAAATCTACGATCCTCAAACAGATGAAACTCATTCATGAGGGAGGTTATTCACGAGACGAGCGCGAATCCTTCAAGGAAATCATCTTCTCCAACACGGTTCAATCCATGCGCGTTATACTAGAGGCCATGGAATCCCTCGAACTACCTCTCGATGACCCTCGAGCCGAATATCATGTCCAAACTATTTTCATGCAGCCTCCGCAGATCGAAGGCGACAGCCTCCCTCCCGAGGTTGGAGCCGCAATCAAGGCGCTGTGGCACGATGCAGGCGTACAAGAATGCTTCAAGCGGTCAAGAGAATACCAACTGAATGATTCGGCAAAATAGTAAGTTGCGCGAGGTTAGGACTAGATCTGATGGACAGTTTTTTGACCAACACCCAGCTATTTCGACTCCATCGACCGTATCGCAGCCCACGATTACCTACCCAACGATCAAGACGTCCTGCGGTCTCGAGTGAAGACTACTGGTATCACCGAGACGACATTCATCATCCAGGATCTCACCTATCGCATGTTTGATGTCGGCGGCCAACGGTCGGAACGGAAGAAATGGATTCACTGCTTCGAGAATGTCACCACCATCCTTTTCTTGGTTGCCATCTCCGAATACGACCAATTACTCTTCGAGGATGAGACGGTGAACCGGATGCAGGAAGCGCTGACCCTTTTCGACAGCATATGCAACTCCAGGTGGTTCATCAAGACCAGCATCATCTTGTTTTTGAACAAGATCGACAGATTCAAGGAGAAGCTTCCCGTCAGTCCGATGCAGAATTACTTCCCAGATTATGAAGGTTGGTCCCACCGTCAACATGGCCCGGTTGGAGAGTTTCTGCTCACTTTTTTTCAGGCGGTCCCGATTACGCTGCGGCGTGTGACTACATTCTGAACAGATTCGTGTCGCTCAATCAAGCTGAGACGAAGCAAATCTACACGCACTTCACTTGCGCCACGGATACCACTCAAATACGATTCGTCATGGGAGCGGTTAACGGTACGTTGGCTGGTATTGTGTTCTTACTGTTCCAGCTGACGTCGATCTAGATATCATCATCCAAGAAAACCTTCGAATGTGCGGGCTCATATGATGACAATAGGCATGAGTCACACCTTATTATCGAATTGCAGTTGGCGTTGGTCCGCAACTGGTTTGTATGACCCAAGGACGATCAAGGATGGCTTGGGGGATGTTCTTGGAAGTGTTGACAAGCTCGCCTTCTACCGGTCGACTGTCCAGTTCGACTTGCCACCCCTTTCCGACTTCTAAGCATGGTGTATATCCTAATGCCCTGTCCACCGAAGATTCCACCGGATCCTCTTTGGCAGTGAATTATTCCACTTGACCCCCAGGCAGACGTCCGGCGGATCCCCAGGTTGGGTTAAGGCACCTATTTGTGTGCGGTGACCGGCGTCTCGTCAGCGTGCAACCAAGGTCAACATTCATCTTCCTTGAAACTCACAGGCTTGAAATGAAATGGAGCGTTCATCACAGGTTTTCACGGTTGGGCTATGAAGGAGGCGTTGTCGAGTTTAGAGATTTCGGGGAAAAGAGAAATTAGCCTTTGGTGTACATCATTCTCCCGAGCAGACATAGGTACCACGACTGTAAAGCTGTCGACTGTGGTCATCAGATTTATGTTTCAGAGCTGAGCATTTCAATGCATTGAGCGTTGTCGCCAGAGTTGTAAAGGACGGGAGCCAAAAGTACATACCTACTACTAGTATACCTACGTAGTACCTGGCACTTGCGCGTTTGTCCCTGCCAAGGTTTGGTTTAACCGCGAGAACTTAAGTTGGTTGAGCGGCCAAGCGTGAACCCACATGTGTAGTTCTGGGGGTGCAACTCCGCATCTGGCGCCAGCGGGCTTTCAGACCACATCTCCATCGACCGTTCGTTGAAAGCCTCAAACGACGGCCGCTTGGGTGAAGCCCGCCTGATCATGTCTTTGACTTCTGCTCTACGTCCGGTTGGACTACCGTTCGGGGCGGGTACAAAACGAGACCAGATTTTAGGCGACAATCAACAGACACGGCTCTTTCGACATGAAGTGGACTATCTCAATCTGCACCGGACACTCGTGCGATTCCAGCACCTCATCCTCCTGACCCCTTCTCCCTCCGATGATGGCAGCTTGAGTGGTTTGCAAAGACAGATACAGGCCGAACTGCGGTCACCACTTCCTTACCATCGCAACAAATGGCTGCACAATATCGAAGGCGCCCGAACGCTGCTGTTGCAACTGGAGCGGCGGGCGCAAGGGATTCGAGTACAGAGGGCAAAATACGAAGCCGTCAAGGATCTCGCGGAGAAGAGAGCGGTTATTAAGAAATTGAGACACCGGATAGAGGAAATTGGACGGGAGGTGGAATCGATGGGCTCCGAAACCCTGCGGCCGCTCACGAGCGACGAGGACGGCGATACACTCTACGACGTGCTGCGACAACAATCGCTACAGACTGATGTTAGTATGACAGCTGAGGAACATCAACAAGACGATATTTTGAAGGAGGGTCGACCTGTCACCCTGGTGGAAGAGGAGAATTCCATCACGGACGATGCCCCCAACATTAAAGATACGCGAGAAGAGCTGTTTACTTCTTCCGGAATCCGGCACAGAGGGAAGAACCAGCAAGACAAGTCATCCGCCCCTGGTGCCCATACAACTGGCTTCTCCAATCTCGAATCTACGGAGCGGACATTGCTGGATTCCTCTCGTGTTCAAGAAGACATTACGACTTCCTTGGTCAGGATGGCGGCACAGTTGAAGCAGCAAAGTCGAGCCATGCAGTTTTCCTTGGAGCAGGACAAGGGGATCCTGGGACGTGCAATTCAAGGCCTTGATATGAGTGTGAGCGGGATGGAGGCGGCCAGCAAAAACATGGCCTTCTTGCGACGCATGAGCGAGGAAGAGGGATTGTTTGGTCGATTGAAGTTATACGCCATGATCTTTGGAATGTGGATTGTGGCATTCTTGTTGGTGTTTGTGTGTCCGAAGCTCAGGTTTTAAGATATGGGTTATCCGTGACTGCTGTACGCAATGCAACGCAGCGCGGCCGTTGCTGTAGCCGTCGCCGTCGCCGCCGCACATGCAAACTCAGATATGGCGCAAGCGAGCTCCTGGGTGAAGCACGAGAGAAGACCTGATGCTGACGATCTTCACATGACGTGGCTCTGTTTGCGATGCTTGCGATGCTTGCGATGCCGAAGACAATCCGGCAATGGCCACGATCTGGATGCGTCAAGAGTGGACTCGAAATCGGAAGCACGATCTTATGAAATTTTAGCTGGGAACGGCGCTTGAGTTCGACGTCGACGTCGAACGCAGTCCTTTGGCGGCGCAGTTGGTGGACTCGCCCTCCCATCATCTCCAGCTGAAGTGCCAGTGACGTGTGTGCCCTATGACATCATAGGCTTCACGTGGTCTTTCTTTGTTTCTTTCGCAGATCACCGGGCTTGCATGTTGCCTGCTTCGCCTCACACGCAAGTATAAAGTTGTTGTCCCATCCCGGAACACTTTTCCTTTGCCAATATACAGCTCACACGAACACGAAGACCACTTATTACACCAATACTCAGCCGACGAATACCCGACTTCAAGATACTTTTCAACCACAATAATGTCTTCCAATGAAAGCCCATCCACCCTTAAGGCTGCCATTGACAGTGCAACCGGCTATGTTCAATCCGGCATTGCTGCTGTGACCGGAAACACCGCCGATCAGGTAAGTTGCGGACCAGACATCCACGGTCAACAACCAACCGACAGGACTAACATCTACGCCAGGCCAAAGCGGAAGAATACAAGAACAAAGGAGCAACCGAATCCGACCTCTCGCACTCTGCTGTGAAAGCAGGCCCGTTCGCTGTTAGCTCCACGGGCGTCCTTGCGAAAGACAACAGCGATCGGACGGAAGGACAATGGGATCAGACCATCGGCAGCACGAAGGAAGCCATCGGCAACCTTGTCGGCAGCGAAAATCTCAAGCAACAAGGCCGTGATCAGAACGCCCAGGGTCAAGCCAAGGAGGCCAAGGGCCAGCTCAGTGACTTAGGAAAGGGTGTCAGCGATCGTGTCCAGGGTGCGGTCGGTAGTGCCGTTTCTGGACTGACTGGCGATCGCGAGGAACAAGCCAAATACAATAACATCCACGATGAGGGAAAGACACGGCAGCGCGGAGTGGAAGTAGAATTGGACAAGCAGGCCTCTGCTGAGCGCAAGTAAAGGGGACTGCATCGGATTGTTCTGAAGATGGCTTGACGGGCGAGGACGGCTTGCTTCATCAGTCTTGGATGAATTGTTCAGTACCTTAGCATTATGATACCCCAGAGTTAGACTCGATGAATATGATGTGTTGCATCCATTCAAGTGAAAATTCTCGATAGCTTGTCTTATGGTTGGAGCAGGAGTGTGATGTTTCCGGTGTAAACGGTTTGTTGTCTGACTTGAGAGACTCTTAGACTCCAATCCCCCCATGCCAGTTCACGCACCAGCCTTGGCCAATTAGAGACCTGGCGCCTCAACTGCCTGCGATGCCCGAAAACAACTGACCTCAACCACCAAACGTTGCTTCAATGGCAGGAGTGCCACAAAAGACACTTGCCTGGCTGTACGATGTCTTGAAGCATGTAGGACGATGCCAGAGCCCTCCATAACCCACTGCCAGGCTAATCTGCGTAGGAATACCAACAACCGAATCGAACGTACTCGGACCTTGCCCATGTCCTGGCCCGCCATCCGGGGCTCACCCCGCGGACAGATGTGTACAGTACGTTGCGACCAGACAAAAGAGTGAAAAGACTGCTAGGGATTGACATGTTGCTTAGCATATGAGGACGGAGCGTCCGCACTCCTAGTCCACTTCAAAGGCACGATCCCCGTCAACTTCAGAGGGAATACGTATAGATTTCCGATCTCGTTATGGATCCCACATGCCCACCCATACGAGCCGCCCATCTGCTATGTGACGCCGACGGAGGACATGATGATAAGACCCGGGCAACATGTTGGGGGTGATGGGAAGATATACCATCCATATCTTGCGCACTGGAGGGAAACATGGGAGGTGAGTTTGCAGACATACAGATAGCAGCAGAAGACGGGATTCTGACGGAATGGTTCTTCAAGAGGTCAAATGTCGTGGACTTTCTGTCTATACTATCGGATGTCTTTGCAAAGGAGCCTCCTGTCATGTCACGGACACCTCAGCAGCAGCAGAGACCCGTTCAACCGACACCACCCCCTGTCCCGCCTCTGCCCAGGGAAATCCAGCAACACCAACCTCATCTGAACGTGCATGGCTCAAGTCCAACAGCACAGACAGGAGCTCCTCCACCACTGCCACCTCTCCCCAAACAACCAACTCAAGGTTATCCGCCGCAAAGTCCAACGAGTCCAGCATCGGCGTACCAACAACATGGGAGGTATGACGGTCCACCTCCTCTGCCACAGAGTTCCGGAGGGGCACCCTCGAGATCGCAGCAACCTTACGGCAATGGGACTGTGCAAAGGTCGGCAAGCGTCACGAATTATATGCCGCAACGAACCAGTAGTTTGAGACAATCAATCCCTCCGCAACAACAGCCGCAACCGTACGAACATCAGCCGCAGCCTCAACTGCCATATCGACATCAACCGCCACGGCCGGGGGAACCACAACAGTTTCCTCCTAATCAATTTCCACCGCACTTCCCAGGTCCATTGAGCTCGCCACCCGGTCAAGGCTATGATCAAGGGAGACCTCCAGCTGATCCATATGGACAGCGACAAGCGTCGTTGGAAGAACCTGCACCTCAGCACTATCCAGAGGGTCAACCACCAGTGGCACAACCCCATCCCCAACCACAACCACCACACGCCCATCCTCCGTATCAACAGCCGTACCAACGTCCGTACCAACGTCCTTACCAATATCCCTATCAACCTCCGTACCAACATCCTCAAACACAAACACAAACACAACCGCCATATCAACAACAGCAACAGCAATCACAACCCCAACCTTCTATCAAGCCCCCTCGACCACCTACACCCAATCTCCTAGACTCGCCATTCGACATCCCTCTCCCTTCGGCCACCGGAGCCCCCAACTCGTCACAAACAAGCAACATCCCGGCCCCACCGATCCCTCGCAACCCAGAAAAGGAAGCTCTCCTGACGCACCTCTCCCATCAAATCACGCAGTCACTACACTCCCAAATCGAGCAATCCAGCGCGGCACTTGGCCCATTATCCTCACAACATGCGGCCATGCAATCGACCCTACAGGCTCTCAGCGCGGAAATGAATGACCTCCAGGCCTTAAACGCGACAGTGTCGTCGAACATTTCGCTGCTGTCGACGTCGCTGGCCAAATCCGACGCCGTCATTTCCTCGGCCCGCAAACGCGCCCAGCAGAACGACGTGCCGCGCGTCGACGAGATGCTGGTCCCGCCGACCATCGTGGCCCGACAGCTCTACGACGCCGCATGTGAAGAGAGGGGGATCGAGGCGGCCATTCTGGCGCTACAGGAAGGGTTTGTGCGCGGGCGGATCGCGAGCGACGTGTGGGCTAGACGGACAAGAGATCTGGCTAGAGAGGAGTTCAAGCGCAGATGGATGGAGAGGAAGGTGGCCAAAGGCATGGGTTTGGATTTGTCGGTCTATGGCCAGGAATGAGGGTTGGAAAGCCATAAAACTGAATGAAATTGTACGGTGTATTCTGCACTCTATGGGGTTTGTATTCTGTATTCTGTGGTTTGTGGTCTGTAGGCTGTGACCTGTAGCTGTAATCTATGGAGACTGCAGCTTTGCACGCTTTGTAACTGCAATGTGTGTTCTACCATTCTCGAAGCCCATTCGTTTGATGCTGACGCCGATGATACACCCACCAGGAGTCTCGCCCCTATCAGGGCCATGTCTCGAAAGTACAAAGTTTCGGCATCCACTGCACGCACACCTTCCCTCTCAATTTGTGCTCGAGGGGGCAAAGACTTTCGCGACTTGATCTGGAGTGAGGTATTCGCTTCCGGGAACTTTTCCCATTTCGTAACAAAATAGGCCGAGCGAGGTGTTTGATCTGTTTGATCTGTTTGATCTGGATCTGGATGAGGACGTGGATGAGGCGGAGGAGGTTGATGTGGATGAAGTTGACGATGTGGGTGTGGATGACGATGAGGACGTGGATGAAGATGTTGATGAAGACAAGGATGAGAATGACACCTGTAGGTCCTAAGACCTCAAGTCAAACCAACATCAGAACCATCCATACTCGTCCGAAGTATTCCCTTCATTTCACAATCCCATCACAATCCCAAATCCGCAGCCGGCTCCGCAGTCACCCCAGCAAACTGAAACACCTCATCCAGATTCAACTCCGCGATCGCATCGACCCCGTTCTTCTCTAGGTCTTTCAAGAACCCGAATTCCTTGTCCCAGTCGATCGAGGACAGGTCGAGATCGCCGCTGGCGTTCATGTCGAAGTCTTCTAGCGCCGAGGGCCATACTTCCACGGACTCTGGGAGGTCGGTGTTGAAGGCGAATGGTTGTTGTTGTTGTTGTAGCTGTGTTGCTTCGGTCTGCTGCAGCTTCTGCTGCTGTTGGGTGGAGGAGTCTTGTGGGGTTGGATTCTTGTTGATGGTGATATTGGGATTGGTGTTGGTGTTCAAGTTGGGAGTATTGGCGGTGGTGTTCAAGTTGGGAGTAATGGTGGGATTGTTGTTCATCACATACTCAGTATCAGTATCAGGCGGAGAGGGAACAGTTGTGGCACTGGCTGTCGCAGTGGTAGCGGTGATGGATGCAGTATTACCATTACCATTGTTTATGCCATGGTAGCCGTCACTGTTGTTGTTAGTGCCGACAGTATTCGCGTTGTGGTCGCTGGTCTTGTCGCTGGTCTTGTCGCTGGTCTTGTCGCTGGTCTTGCTGATCTTGTCATTGTCCATAGCATTGATAGACGCAGTAACGGCAGCACCAGCTAGATTACCATAGCTGGGAATTGGTTTATTACCATGCACATTGCCAATCGGGTTCACTTGCATCTTCAAGTTCGGGTTGATGGACTTGTTCGTGTCCCGCGAGACGTCGGTAGCGAGAGTCAACCCTAGACCGATGGCCGAGCTTGCATGCTCTCCGGTACTGGTATGAGTATTGGTATGAGTGTTGGTATCGGTGTGAGTATGAGTATTGGCATGAGTAGTAGTATCGGTGTAAGTATCCATCAGCATGTCGATATCCAAGTCGATACCCAAGTCCAGGTCAAGGTCATGGTCCAGATTGTCTCGCTGAAACATATTCTCTATCGATTGGTCTTGCGCTGCATCAGCATTCACTTTCAGTGACTTGTCAAAATTGACAATGGGGGCATTGAGGCCGTCCAGCGTCGCGGCGGTAGTGGTTGCGAAATCGTCCAGGACTATCACATTGCTACCGAAGGTCATTCCATCCGAGGTCGAAGGGAGGGTGGTGAACAATTCAGGCTGGAATTGATTCTGATTCTGAACTTGGTTTGTGGCGTAGATTTCACAGAAGTCCTGGTCGTGGTCCTGATCCTGGTCCAGGTCCGCTGGGGGGTGGACATGTTGGGTTTGAGGCTCGTGCTCGTCCTGGCCTACATTCATATTCTGAGCCCAAGCGTAGCTTTGAGATGGAGATAGTACCGTTTCGTGGGATGCACTGGGGATGTTGTGTTGAGCTTGACCATGACCTTGAGCTTGACCATGACCTTGAGCTTGACCATGACCTTGAGCTTGACCATGACCGTGAGCTTGACCATGACCGTGAGCTTGGCCTTGACCGTGAGCTTGGCCTTGACCGTGAGCTTGAGCTTGAGCTCGGCCTCGGCGACCTTGAGTCTGCGACTGGACAGTCACGTAACGTGGCGACGGGGTAGGCGTCGATGCTTGTCTTATATGTCCAGCTCGCGGAGTGACATTAGCCTGCTGCTGCTGCGCGACTGAAAGACGTGGAGTCGATTGATGCTGTTGCAACATTGGAGTGCGTGGACCACGCAATGGTCGGGACGTCTGCATGCGAGGCTGTGCCAGCAACTGTGCTTGCTCTCCTCCATGAATTGGATTGTAACCATGAGTTTGAGTCTGATTCTGCAAAAAAGCATGACCGGGAGCCTGGGCATAGATGTGACCATGGAGCAGTTGATGTTCTGGGGAGTGGGTGTCATTTTGGTATTCGATCAAACCACGATTTTGTGGCTGAGCATGACACTGACCCTGATGCTGCATCATATCATGAGTATGGCCTTCAACAAAGACTTGACCTTGCATTGGATCATCGCTTGTGATCAGAGCATGACCTCGACCCTGCGCGGAACCATGAGGTTGAGCCTGTGCATGAGCTTGATCCATCGTTGATTGATTGACTGGGCCTCGAGCCTGATTTGAACGCTGTGGGCAACCTTGAACTTGAGCTTGACCGTAAGCCTGGCCGTGCAATGAATCAGGAGCCAGCTCTTGGGTATAGAATTGAGACTGCATTGACTGCATTGCACTTTGACTCTGAGACTGAGCTTGAGTCAGCACCTGACCTTGAGCTTGACCCGAGCCTCGACGACGACCTGGGCCTTGAACTGGTGAAATATGGGCCTGGCTTGATACTTGACGCCGACCTTGACCATGAGACGGAGCAGAGGCAAGTCTTTCTTTCAACATTCGTTGAAGCATTTGTCCGTACGACTCTGCACCAGCCTCGCCATCAACCGTGGGAGCCAATATGCCGGTGACAGGAGGAACGGGATACTCATAACCAGTCATCTGACACATCCTCGATGGTGGTGGTTCTTGATCCTGGTAGGTGCGGACTGTCCACTTGTAGTCTTGAGGGATGTCTGCTTGATTGAAATACTCGGTCAATTTAGTAAGGTTGTACTGTTGAGGCATGCGTATGATTTCGTAGTTTTGATTTTGCCGCGCAGCCACATTGGTAAGAACGCTTTCTGGGTCGACACTGGTGGTGGTTGACGTGGGCGAAGTGCGGGCTCTCTTTGCCGGTGGAAGGACTGGAGACGTCGGATCGTCGTTACTCATTGCCCACTGGCCGTTTGCCGCAAGACGAGTTGCTGGCATGTTCTGCTCAGTTGTGGACATTGCCGGGAGACCAGGCGAGGAGAATGAAGACACTCTGCCATTCGTAGCCTTGACCAGGGTAGGTCTTGCTTGGGATGCCGGTTGACGTGGGCCTTGTCGAGGGACAGGCGTAGGGGAGACATTGTTCATTGGACGAGGTTGCGGTTGCAGGTCTCTGGCTGGCATTTGGGGAGCTTGGAAATGGTGCAATACAGGCTGGATATCATGCTGAAGTCTCTCGGCAGCAGACGTGGGATGAAACGGACTACCCAGCGTCTTGAGACCTGGATGGCTCTGGCTGGTGGGTTGTTGAGAGGCCAGCGACGACTGCGGAAAGCCAGACGTGCGAGCATCAGGGCCTGACAGGCGACTAGCACGGCCGTTGTTGGTCTGTTCTCCCGACTTCGTATGTATTTGTCCATCTCTTGCAATTGTCTGAAATCGAGGGTGGACAGCCTCGTGTTGAAACGAACCAGAAATCTGCTGGCCGCCAAAATTGTTGATACCCTCGAATGCAGTGGCCTGACCGGGACTTTGGAAAGTGCTGTAGACATTATCTGCGCTTGTTGCTGTAACGATCGGTGGAGAGGAGTCCAGAGTGGCTGCGGTATTGGGGGAAGTGTTCGAGTTGTCTGCGGGACTGGAGGAAGAGAAAGCAGAGTCGGCTGCAACATCGGGGAAGAAGGTCGAGTCCAGCTCAGTGTTGCTGTTCAGGACGACTTGATTATTGGTCTGGTCCATGGGAGAGGATGAGGCTGCACCAGAGCTGTAGCCGGGGTTGTCGTTCACAGAATCGTCTTCGGCGATGGCAGATTGAAGCAGTCTAATGAATTCCTCTGTTTCTGCATCCGTGAAAACGTTGGACGCTTGACCGTTAGAAGGAGAGTCGAACAATGGCATTTCGACCTCGTTTCCCATGAGGTTCATGTTGTGAAGCTCGCTGACTTGTTTGTAGGGTGAGTCGGATACGGGTTGAGGCGGACCAATGTTGCCTTGCACAACGCTGCTCATGGCTGTAGAGTTCGCTGCCCATCCGTGGCCGTAGTTGACTGCTCCTTGAAGCGTGGCAGAAGCCTGTCCTGTAGCGGTAGAGCTCAGTGTGGTTGGCGAAGAAGAATAGCTGGCTTCATTCATGCCTGAGTGACGACGCTTTCTTCCCAAGGGAGAGCTCATCTTGTCAACGAAGCGCAAAGCGCAATGGGGTCAATCTTTGTGATATCTCTGCTGTTGCGATCGAAGAAGATCAGCTTGCAGGAGCAAAGACTGTAAGAAACCGAAGCGAGATCATAAAGTGGAAGGATGAGTAGGTGAGCAAACTGCGAGGTTTTTATGCGTTAGACTGAGTGCCATACTTTAACACTTCACTCGTCCCAGCGTTTGTCCGTCCGGTGTTAGGGAATATAGTGATTTGGCCAGCCACTCTCGCGGGTTTAGTGCATTGAACTGGCGCAATCCGGGGTGAAAATCGGCCACAGGACCAATGGGAGGGGTTGTAATTCTGATATTGCCAGTGTCGTGTTGGAAGGCAGTGAATGGGTTGCAACCAGCCTCGCCTTTTTGAGGTCACTTCGCAGCTGGAGTGCAACAGCATCTCGCCGGGTGTCAAGCCTGGAGCCAATTGACTCGGACAGAGTCACTCCAGAAGAGAGCAGTAGCCAGTATATGGCCATCGATATTCGAAGCCTTGAACCATCATCTGGTGCAGTTGCACTGGTTGTCGAGACATTCGGCCGCAGGAAGATGCTCTCCGGGAGCACGCTGGGTATGCAGAAGACTTCTTGCTGGAGGGCTCCCGAGGCGCTGGAATCGGCCCGTCATTCCGCACATGGGATCAGGCTTCCACCAAGAGAATGCATGTTTCGTCAGATAGGACTCCGTCTTGGCTGCGAAGAGCCTGGCATATGGCGCCCATCCTCCAGCGACAGAGGCACCGAGATGATGTGTTTTGTTCAGTATTGGTCAAAATATGTCCGTAGTATCAGACGAACGACCCTGGCTTGTGTATTATGAGCTCTCAAAGATCACGAGACTGTCGACACATCGAAGTCCTCAGGGTAAGATATTCGGTCGATTCTCCATTGAAGAAAGCCGCCTTCTATGATAGAAGCTCATCAGAAGGAATCTTGCTTCCATTTATCAATCGACCTGGACCAGAGCCGTCGTATCAAGAAGGCAGCCTAAGGGTCTGACTCGATTGCCGTGGAAAAATACCTACCTCCAGACCAAGCGATAGAGGCTCTCAGTTTATGAGGCTCGATGAGCGCCGAGCGAAGGGAGATGTTGAGGTAACCAGAGATTCCAAATAGAGAACATACCTCTACGCCATCCAGAGGAAATTCTGGAGCTGCGTACCCTGTCCAGTGACCGTCCACTGAAGGTTTGCTAAAGGGGAGGCTGATGTTTACTTTGTTCTGGCAAAGATCATTTGACAGCGGTATCTTCAATAGCGTTCATCAAAATCTCAGTCTCGGAATCTTGAGCGGCCACGGTATCTCGTCTGGGAATACCCTTCAACAAGGTCGTCTCACCTGGTATAAATACCCTTTCCCAAGGACATTTCACCAAGGATGTTCCGCAACAGGAATACCTCAATCCAGACCGTCCGCGACGACATCTCATCTTACCTGACATGCCTTCGAACAAGGACAGACAGTTCTACCCACCGACGCGGTCCGTACTCCCCCGAGCCGAGGCGGTCGATATCCCAGCGCTCAATGTTCCATTCCCACTCTCACACCCGTCCACCAACCCAGCAAACGCCAACTCAACAAATAGAGAGAGAGAGAGAGAGAGAGAGAGAGAGAGAGAGAGAGAG